GTGTATGTCTGCAGGCCAGAACAGGGCACCAGACATCATTACAGATGGTTGTGAGCCACCATGTGGTTGCCAGGAATTGAACTCAGGACCTTTGGAAGAGCAGGCAATGCTCTTAACCACTGAGCCATCTCTCCAGCCCCTTATTGTAGCATTTTTAAGAGCAGCTTAAAATGGATAGAAAATTTAGTGTTATCCACTGGTACTCCTTCTCTAGAGAATTGTACAGATTTTTTAAATTAAAACTTTGAACTTGGCTAAAAGAAAGTCAGACACCAAAGTTAATCTGACACAAAGTCTATACATCCCTGTGGCTCCTGATTGCATAAAAATATATTTGATAGGGAAGGTATCAATGAAATGTGAAGCCCCTCAGGTTCAGAATAGCTAATGTGACTGTACAGAAGTTCACCAAAATACATTCTTAATAGCTCATCTAAATGTTGTTTCTAGGAACTTGACCAAAATGCCACTGCGAAAGTGCAGGCCATGTTCACCGCCATCGATGAGCTCCTGTACGAGCAGAAGCCGAGTGTGCACACACAGAGTCTGCAGAAAGAGTGCCAGCAGTGGGCATCCAGCTTTCCTCACCTCAGGTACCAGACAAGACTACAGTCTAGACTGTGGGCATCTCAGATCTGGAATTCTGAACATGTATGAGCTTTGGAGTTTATTTTCTTTTTCTTTTTTTTTTTTTAAGATAGGGTCTCACTATGAAACCCTGGCTGGCCAGGAACTCACTGTGTAGAGCAGACTGGACTTGACTCACAGAGATCCACCTGCCTCTGTCTCCAGAGCACTGGGATTTAAAGGCTTACCTGGCCTGAGCACGCTTTTTTGTTTGTTTGTTTGTTTGTTTGTTTGTTTATTCTAATGGACACAACTTTGATAAAATTATCTAAAGCCATGTTATATAAAACCTCAGTTGAAAGAATACTCATATTAGTAGAAGTTTTTAGACTTACCCTAATCACCAACATGCCAACACATTATTCTAATTAAGCAAACTTTTTTGTGTGTGTGACAAGTCCTCCCCGAGTAGACAGGCTGGCCTTGAACTCATTTATCTGCCTGCCTCTGTCTCCTTGGTGCAATGCAAAAGTTTTTAAGATCTACTTGTACATGTGTGAAACAAAGTCTCAGATAGCCCAGGTTTGCCTGGCCTTGAACTTTCTTTTTTAAAAAATATTTTTTCTTGGCTGGGCATGATAGTGCACACCTTTAATCACTATGAGTTTTATGTGCCTTGGCCTATACATTAAGTTCCAAGACAGCCAGAGCTACTTAGCGAGATCTTGTCGGTTTTCTGTTGTGTTTTTCTTACATGTATTTATATGTACTGCACATATGCCTGGTGCCTGTGGAGGCCAGAGCCCTGGAGCTGGAGTTAGAAACAATTGTGAACTGCCATGGAGATGTTGGAAACTGAACCTGGTTCTCTGCAAGAGCAGAAAGTGCTTTTAACCCCCGAGCACTCTCCAGCTCCAGGCATTGATCTTTACATGTGAGCTGATATCTTTAACTTCTGATCCTTTTCTACTCTTCACCTCCAAGGGCCTGGGATTGTAGACATAAGCCTTTCTTTTGAACAAAATGGCCAGAAAATGGTTTTTTTTTATACCACTGTCTACAAGTAATTCTTGTGTATTTGAAAGGACATACATACACACATTTCCTGAGAAACCACCGTAGTACCATGACTGTATGTACTGAAATTTCTGTTTAATGTTATTAAGAACATGATTCATGGGCTAGAGAGATGACTCAGCGATTAAGAGCGCTGGCTGCTTGACCTAGGTTCAATTCCCAGCACCCACATGACAGCTCACAACTGTCTATAACTCCAGTTCCAGGTGAGCCAACCCCCTCACATAGGCATACATGCAGACATAACACCAATACATGAAATAAAATAAATCATTTTAAAAGAAAGAATGAGATTCATAGTTGTCACTAATTGGCTGGCCCTTCATCCTCTTATGGGGTTGGGGGAGGTGTGCAGCGCTTGTTGATGATTGACCCCAGGGCCAAGTGTTCTACCACTGTGTTTACTTCCTTAACTTCTCGTGGACTTTTCTTTAGACTCCTGGGCAATAGCTTTATCTTTTCCATATATATTCTAGTAAAGGGGAATATACCTGAGTAATAATTCACATTTCCTCTCAAGAGTAATTCTTAACCAGTATCTGACTAAATCTCTGGGATCAGATTTGATGCTGAAATGCTCAGACTTGGCATGTGTGTGTGCCAAGTGAAGGTACTTTACTGTGTCTCTTCTTCGTTGGAAGGATTCTAGGTAGGCAGATAATCACTCCAAGTGAAGGCTATGGATTGTACCCTCGATCACCTTCTGCTGTGTCAACTTCACATGAAGCAACCTTGTCTCAAGAGAGAGACTCTACCATGTAAGTACACTGTAATGCAAGCACTTGAGTCTCCAGTGCATAGCGATGGTTCCTGTGGAGGATGATATAGCGCAGAGGAGCAAAGCCTAGATCCTGAAATGTGTGCTGGTGCTGCTGGATTTTCGAGACAGGGTTTCCCTCTAGTTTTTGGTGCCTGTCCTAGAACTAGCTCTTGTAGACCAGGCTGGCCTTGAACTCATGGAGATCCACCTGCCTCTGCCTCCCAAGTGTGCCACCACTGCCTGACTTATTTTTTAATCTAAGTAGAACATAAAATATTTACATGATAACAGAGTACACAAAAAAAACAGATTAATATATAAATTGAGGTAATGGTTTCAAACAAGATTGTCATATAACACAGATAGTAGTGTGTAGGTCACAATGGTAGTCCTGGGAGTTAAGTATTAGAAAATGGTGTTAGGTTACAGAAACACAAGCATGAAAACATGAAAAATTGAGTTTGCAGAGATAATTCTTCTGTTTTGGGCTGATTTAAGGCTTGTGACTAGACAAGGTTTCATTATGTAGCCCTGAATGGCCTGGAACTCACTATGTAGACCAGGATAGCTTCAAACTTAACAGGTATCTCCCTGCCTCTGCCTCCTGAGTGCAGGGATTAAAGGTGTGTTCCACTACAGCCATCTATATTATTTTAAATATATATTTCAATGGATCCTTTTGAGAAACTAAATTCCACCACCTAGTTACTGAAGTCAGCCCCTACCATGGTATACACAAAACAAAAAGCATACAATTAAACACAGGAGGTGCTTCCAGGACAGAGTTGACAGTGATTTCTAGGATGTAATGTCAGAGGCAAAAGCAAAAAAGTGGTCAAATTACTGTGTACAAATAATCAAAAGAAGAAGAGAATATATACAATAGGATAAAGTGTTGACAAATCGTATGCCTAATAAGGATTAATATCTACAAGGCAAATGATTTCTACAATTCAGAAAGTCAACAACAGCCTAACTGAAAGAGGACAAAGGACATGAACAGCTGGTCTCTAAAGGTATGCGAATGGCCGTCAGGAGTGAGAGAAGATGCTCAGCATCAGAAGAGAAGTGCCCCTCAGAGCCAGGTGGTGTCACCTAGCATGACCAAAGTACTGAGTGCAATCCTTCAGCACTGGAGAAAGAAAAAAACTTAAAATAGTTCAGAAAACTATTGCCAGGACAAGGGGGGGTTGTTCCAAAAGTCACGTTACTTGCCATGAGAAAGCTGTTTTGTGTTAATATGTCACTAATACTGCTTTTTCTTCCCTCTCCAAGATTTGGTATAAGGGGAAAGAAGTTAAATTTTTCATCTTCTTATGCTCATAAAGCATCTCCCAGCACTAAACCCTCTGGCTTGTCCACTGCGGAAGGGGGAGAGGTGGACTGGATAATCTTTTCTGAAGGAGTAATTGAGGAGTACCTGGCTTTCGACCACACAGACACGTGAGTACTGTTTTTTAAGACTGTTGCTTTGTTTTGGGTATCACCGTCTACTTTTATGAAACTGCGCTAAGCAGTTTTGTAACCCATAAGCAGATTTGTAACGGTCTGATACCTGTGTCCAGTCGGCTCCAGCTGTAAGCAGGTTTGTAACAGTCTGATACCCGTGTCCAGTCGGCTCCAGCATGCTCCCACACACCAGGCTTCCCTCTGTAGCTTCCTTCTTCACTTAGAAATTGCTTTTTCCTGAGATGAGAGCTTTTTTTTTTTATTAAAGATTTCTGTCTCTTCCCCACCACCGCCTCCCCTTTCCCTTCCCCTCCCCCAATCAAGTCCCCCTCCCTCGTCAGCCCAAAGAGCAATCAGGGTTCACTGCCCAGTGGGAAGTCCAAGGACCACCCACCTCCATCCAGGTCTAGTAAGGTGAGCATCCAAACTGTGAGATGAGAGCTTTTTAAATGACTTTCTCTCCATAATTTGATTTTATCATTTTACAAATTTTCACCAGTAAAAACTGAAACTTCAAAGAGTAGTTGAAGAGATGTGAAACTTCGATTATTTAAAATAAACTTTCTTGCTTTATTTTTATTACTATTGTTGTTTTGAGACAGGGTCTTCTTACTATGTAGCTTTGACTGCCCTCAAATTTATAGAAATTCGCCTGCCTCTGCCTCCCACATGCTAGGATTAAAGGTGTGCATCACCATGCCCATCGGATTCTTTTAAAGGATACATATAGTTTTATACAATTAATAATGTGTATTTATTATACATATTACCTTGATATGGAATAGATGAGAATCAGAGTGTTTAAGTAATTTGTCTGAGGCAAAGTTAAAACCAAAACCTTGTTCATCTGTTTCTAAATGCAGTAATCTCATCATATTGCATGCTGCCTCTCTGAAACGTAAACTATTTTGTTGTTGTTGTTGTTGTTTTTCAAGACAGGGTTTCTCTCTAGTTTTTGGTGCCTGTCCTAGAACTAGCTCTTGTAGACCAGGCTGGCCTCGAACTCACAGAGATCCTCCTGCCTCTGCCTCCCGAGTGCTGGGATTAAAGGCGTGCGCCACCACCGCCCAGTGTAAACTATTTTTCTAAGTTCTAGATTTAATTTTGGTAAGTGATATTTATCCAGAAAGTTGTCCATTTCCGTTAAGTTTTCCAATTTTGTGGAGTACAGGTTTTCAAAATATGACCTGATAATTCTCTGTATTTCCTCTGTGTCTGTTGTTATGTCCCCCTTTTCATTTCTGATTCTGTTACTTTGGATATTCTCTCTCTGCCTTTTGGTTAGTTTGGATAAAAGTTTGTCTATTTTGTTGATTTTCTTCAAGAACCAACTCTTTGTCTCATTGGTTCTTTGTATTGTTTTCTTTGTTTCTATTTTGTTGATTTCAGCTCTCATTTTGATTATTTCCTGCCGTCCAGTTCTCTTAGGTGAGTTTGCTTCTTTTTGTTCTAAAGTTTTCAAATTTTCTGTTAATTCACTAGTGTGGGATTTTTCCAACTTATTTATGTAGGCACTTAGTGCTATGAACTTGCCTCTTAACACTGCTTTCATTGTGTCCCATAAATTTGGGTATGTTGTGTGGTCATTTTCATTGAATTTTAGGAAGTCTTTCATTTCCCCCTTTATTTCTTCCTTGACCCATTGAGGATTCAGGTGAGCATTGTTTAATTTCCATGTGTTTGTAGGTTTTCTGGAATTGGTATTGCTGTTGACTTCTAGTTTTAAAGCAAGGTGATCTGATAAGGTACATTGGGTTATTCCAACTTTTTTGTATTGGTTGAGGTTTGTTTTGTTACCGAGTATGTGGTCAATTTTTGAGATGATTCCATGAGGTGCTGAGAAGAAGGTATATTCTTTTCTGTTTGGATGGAATATTCTATAGATGTCTGTTAAGTCCACTTGAGTCATAACATCTGTTAGTTCTCTTATTTCTCTGTTCTTTTTTTGTCTGATTGACTTGTCCTGTGGTGAGAGGGGAGTGTTGAAGTCTTCCACTATTAGTGTGTGGGGTTTAATGTATGACTTAAGCTTTAGAAGTGTTTCTTTGACATATGAGGGTGCCCTTGTATTGGGGGCATAGATGTTCAGTATTGAAACTTACTCTTGATGGATTTTTCATGTGACTAATATGAAATGTCTTTCTTTGTCTCTTTTGACTGATTTTAGCTTGAAGTCTATTTTGTTAGATATTAGGATAGCTACACCTGCTTGTTTCTTAGGTCCATTTGATTGGTATATTTTTTCCCAACCTTTTACTCTGAGATAATGTCTGTCTTTGAGGTTGAGATGCATTTCTTGTATGCAGAAGAGGGATGGATTCTGTTTTCATATCCAGTCTGTCAGCCTGTTCCTTTTTATGGGTGAGTTGAGTCCATTTACATTAAGGGATATTAATGACCAGTTATTGCTATCTCCTGTTAATTTAGTTTTCATCGTTGGTGATGTTAATTTGTGCTTTTTCTTCTTCTTTGGGATTTGCTGTAATGAGATCATCAATTGTCTTTGTTTTTGTTGGTGTAGCCATCTTCCTTGGGTTGGAGTTTTCCTTCTAATATTTTGTACAGGGCTGGGTTTGTGGCTAGGTATTGGTAAAATCTAGATTTGTCATGGAATATCTTTTTTTTGTCCTTCTATGGTGATTGACAGTTTTGCTGGGTATAGTAGTCTGGGCTGACATCTGTGGTTTCTTCATGTCTGCATAATGCTTGACCATGACCTTCTGGCTTTCATTGTCTCCTCTGAGATGTCAGGTGTAATTCTGATAGGTCTACCTTTATATGTTACTTGGCCTTTTTCCTATGTAGCTCTTAATATTCTTTCTTTACTATGTATGGTTAGTGTTTTGATTATTATGAGGCAAGAGGATTTTTTTTTTTGATTCAGTCTATTTGGTGTTCAGTAAGCTTCTTGTATCTTCATAGGCATATCTTTCTTTAGGTAGGGAAAGTTTTCTTCTATGATATTGTTAAATAAAGTTTCTGTGTCTTTGAGTTGAACTTCTACTTCTTCTATACCTTTTATTCTAAGATTCGGCCTTTTTATGTTGTCCCATATTTCATGGATATTTTGGGTTAAGCTTTTGTTAGATTTAATGTTTTCGTTAACTGATGAGTTTATTTCCTCTATTGTATCTTCAGCGCTTGAGATTCTCTCTTCCATTTCTTCTGTTGTTCATGCTTGCATTTGTGGTTCCTGATCTTTTTCTCATGATTTCTGTTTCTGTAATTCCTTCGGCTTGTGTTTTCTTTATTTTTTTCTATCTCAGTTTTCAAGTCCTGAATAGTTTCTTTTATATGTTTGAGTTCTTTTTCTTGGTTTTCTTTAAGTGATTTGCTGATATCTTTTTTTGTTTTTTCCTCCATTTCTTTAAGGTAATTTCTCATTTCATCTTTAAGAATTTCAAACATCTTCTTGAGTTTATTTTTTAGATCATTTTCTTCTGGTTCATCCATATTTGGTTGCTCAGGCCTTGCTTTTGTAGAGTCTTTAGGTTTTACTGGTGTTGTGTTGCTCTTTGGTGTAGTGTGTGATTTTACCTTTTCTACCCATCTTTTCCTCTAATAGGTGTGTTTGGGGTTGTCTGAGATTCTGTTGAATAATCTTCTAGGTGCCAGTGAATCCAAAGCTTAGATGGTTGTTCCTCATGGTACAGTGTCACAGTTCTAGTTACCCCGTCGGTTATTCCTGTTCCTGGAGGTAGCTCAGTGCTCCTGTGCTTTGGTCTGCTCCTTGGAGTTTGCTGTCTCAGGCCTACTTTGCCTAGGCTGCTGGCTTTGATCTGTTTCTGTAAATCCTGGTCTGGATCTTCTCCTGCAAAAGTCCCTGGCTTGGAGTTGGACCTGTTCTGGTGGAGATCACTGACTCTGGATCTGGTCACTGGTTCAATTGTGATCTGCCCATGTCCCGGGACTGGGTTTGCTCCTGCCTTCTGCTCTTGGCGGGGCTTGTTCTCTCTGTGTCTTAAGTAACTGGTCCCACTCTGGTTCCAGTGGAGGTTGCAGACTCTGAGTCAGGTCGTTGGCTCATCATTCCTGGTCTGCCAGTGTCCCAGAACTGGGTTGGCTCCCAGGGCTGAATTTATTCCTGGCTTCTGCTCCCGGTGGAGCTTGTTTCCTCCGGCTCTCTCTGGCTTTTGATTTTTTTTTTTAGAGACTCCTCTTTCCCTAGCCTTTGTCATCTACTTCTTCTGTCTTTTGTTTTTTCTCAAATCAGAAGCCCTCCCCTTTGGTCCTTCTTAAGTTATGAAGAATGAAGTTGACTGAAATAACATAAAATGTGGTACAAATGGCTGACGTGTGCTCCCAGGGCACCTTTCCCTTTTTCCAATGAGAGGAAACACAGTGAATTTTCAGGCAATATTGGCAAGATTTCAAAAGGCAGCCATATTACAGATACTACCAAAATATCTTCTTGTAAAGTAACTCAGTAGTTGGGCCTTTAGGATGTTCCTAACTAAAGCTGGACCTACTGGACAGGCCTATAATCACAGTTATTCGGGAGGCTGAGGCAAGGAGAATCACAAGTTGAAAGCCAGCCTTGGCTACAAAGTGAGATCAGGATAGCCTATACAACCTGGTGGAACACTGCTTCAGAATCAAAGGTTAAAAGCTGTGTTGTAGCTCAGTTGTAGAGCACTTGATCCTGCATGACTGGAAACTCCAGTTAAACTGAAAATATCGAAGGTCACAAAATAAGTGAAAATGCCCGCAGGAAATGAGTATATATGATAACTTAAGCAAATGACTTTGTAAAAGTAGAAAAACCAGGAAAAAGTAACATTCCTAACTTATTCTTTCTATAAAGAGTAAACTGAAATTTCACACATAAAAATTTGCACATGACAGATCATATCATGTAGGTTTAGAAAGCAGATATGAAAGGTTTTTTTTTCTTCTTTTTTTTTAAGTCTGGAATTAAAAGCGTGTCACCACGTTACATCTCAAAAGCATTTTAAACCCTAATACAGAATCTACAAGTCATATAAGAAGTTCTTAAGTTATGATGTTAGATGGCATTTCTGCATAGGAAAAAGAAACACAAAGTCAATAAAACTAGGCAAAAATATCTGTACCACATTTATAGAATTAATTTTTAATGTATATATCAATGAGGAAAAGACTAAGGATTAAACAGGAGAAGAACATGAACAGCAAGTTCTTATGAGCAGAACAAACATTTTATTTTTTAATTAATTTATTTATTATGTATACAATGTTCTGTCTGCATGTATGCCTACCCACCAGAAGAGGGCACCAGATCTCATAGATGGTTGTGGGCCACCATGTGGTTGCTGGGAATTGAACTCAGGACCTCTGAAAGAGCAGCCAGTGTTCTTAACCTCTGAGCCATCTCTCCAGGCCCAGAACAAACATTTTAAATATTTGAATTCAACCTTGTGGGTTTCTTCTTCACTGTTGGACTGTAGAGCCTCTTGAGAGGATGGTGGACCTTATCTTTCAAATTGCAGAGTAGATGCCCTTTACCTCACTAATTGTATTTCCAGGAATCTATTCTACAGATGTAATCACCCATGAAATGAAATAACAATTTCAGTACCTACCATAGTCAGAAGCCTGGCTAGTTGGATACATGTGGTGCAGCTGCTGGAATCCTCCAACTGTTCTCTGAGAGACAGGCTGATCTGTGCAGATAGGACAGTTGCAGACGCACTGGTAATAAAACGTGGGGTACAGTGTAACACGCAATGTAATTATTTCTCTGGAACAGTATAGACTATTTGTTTTTGGTGATGGGGACCAGGAATCAAGAGATATAGGAGACATCCTTTTCATTATGAGTCCTATACATTTTAATTTTTCACCAAATAATGGTACATGCCTATAGTTGCAGCATTTGGGGGGTGGGGGCAAGTTTGATCACCTCTGGTCTACATAGTGAGTTCTACCCAGTCAGGGCTACATAGCAAAATCCTACCCCAAAAATAACATTTAAAAATGAGAGAAAGTAAATACAGTTCAGCAAATCATCTGATCCTCTTAGTTCCTACTACTGCCAAGCTCGTTCTTCCTCCGGTAGCTGCCCTACATGACCTCTTTCCTGCCTGTTTTGTTTGGTTTTGGGAACCTCTGCCTGAAGGCGATCTCCTGTAGAAACCTAGACTATTTCTTCCATTCCTCAGTCACTTCCTGAATGTGCTTTGTTCTATTCTATGGCAGCAGTTCTCAACCTTCTCAATGCTGTGACCCTGTAATACAGTTTCTCATGTTGTGGTGACCCCCAACAATAAAATTATTTTGTTGCATCAGGCGGTGGTGGCACACACCTTTAATCCCAACACTCAGGAAGCAGAGGCAGGAGGATCTCTGTGAGCACCAAGCCAACCTGGTCTACAGAGTGAGTTCCAGGACAGCCAGAATTCCACAGAGAAACCCTGTCTTGAAAAAACAAAACAAAAAAAAATTATCTTGTTGCTACTTCATAAGTAATTTTGCTACTGTTATGAACTGTAATGTAATATCTGACATCAGCTGGAGCCACAGGTTGAGAACCACTGGTCTATGAGCACACTGTCAGCTAGCCCCCACAGCCCCAGACTATTGCTATTCCCTTTAGCAGAGGGGCATGGAGTCTCGGAAGAACCCAGAGGACTTCCGGTCTATTTCAGTCCCACCTTTCCTTTGTGGGGCACTAGGACAGCTGCAGGTACTGGGTGAAGAGGAGGGTGGAGCGGGTCACCATGCACATTTCTGAGTATAAAGGACAATGGTGGGGCTCAGGGAAGAATAATCATGAAATCTTTCCCTCTTGCTTCTATTCCAGGGAAGAGGGATTTCATGGAAACAAATCAGAAGCAGCTACAAAGAAACAGAAATTAGGGTACCCTCCCATTGCTCCATTTTACTGCATGAAAGAGGATGTCCTTGCTTATGTTTTTGACAGCGTGTGGAGCAAGGTTGTGGGCTGTATGGAGCAGTTGACACGTAGTCACTGGGAGGGATTTGCTTCTGGTAAGGATCCTAATGAAACCAATGTGAAAAATAATTATTTATGATTTACAAATCCCAGTCAGTCTCTGTGTGTGTGTCTTTGGTGCTGGCTAAACCTAGGACCCCTGAATGTGCTGGGCAAACGTTACCACCAAGTTACAAGACAGACAGGCCTTGGACTTGTGATCCTCTTGCTTCAACCTCTCAATTGATATTCTGGGGCTTTGCTACCAGGTCTAGCTCTAAAAAATCTAGGCTATATGCTTTATTAGTACAGTACCTGGGTAAGACAGATAGCTGAAACCAGTATTTTCCTATCTTCACACACACACACACACACACACACACACACCACAACACTTCTGAAACCAAGTTTGTAGGAGTAATCCACACATTCTTAATAGATTCTCACACACCATGTGAGTGTGCTATGATTGACTCTCACACTACCTAGAAGATGGCTTTAGATCCCACAAGGGTTCAGTTCCACAGCCTCTCCCACTCTAAACCTCACACCACACGTTGAAGCCTCGTGTTGAGACCTGTACTTCTACTCATGAGTCTCCTTCCTTAGGTTTGATTAATCTGCTAGAATGGTGTGCAGGACTCAGGGAGAAACTCAGGCTTGCTGGCCTAGGAAGAACACTAGAAAGGATGTAGATAAATAGCCGAATAAGAGATGCACAAGACAATGTTGGAGGAAGGAAGGGGGGTCCCCGCCACTCGAGCACACTCACTTGAGTAGTTGGGAAGCTCTTCTCAAGAAGACATTTGTTCGGATTCTTATAAAGTCCTCATTGTGTAAGCATGTTAAATAATCAGCCCCTCTCTTCACAAAAGTCAGGGGAGTATGGCTAGAAATTCCAAACCTGATTACATGTTGTTCTCCCTGGCAGTTAGCTCTCCTGCTGGCTCCCATCCTGAAATTATTCAGATTCTCCCAACCACCAGCCCTCTTCTCAGAATGCAGAAAGGCACTGTGGCTTTGAAGGTTCCAAGGGTTTTAGGAGCTCTGTGCCAGATATTAGGTAGAGACCAAATATGTTCTTTATATCAGAGTGAGCCTGATTAATGTTGGTGTGGACAGAAACTAGCAGAGAACTTAGTAAATATCTGAGGATGGGTGGAGCAGGAATGAGGCCTCATCTGTGGTCTTCAGACAAGTACAGAGCTTGTACTTTCTCCTCCAGCTGTGAGAAAAACCATGTAAGTGGCATGTGCTTCTTAGTCTCAGTGAAGAATAATTAACAAACAGATACTTCACACTAGGTGTGCAGTCGTTCTGTGTATATGGTCAGCACAGTGAACACTCCCACAAGTTCATGCCCTTTACAAGCCCTCTTGCTGTCATAATACATTACGTCCATTGCCAAAGATGCTTCTGCTGAGAGAAGCCAGATGGAGTATGTGGTGGCCCCCAGAGGCTCATAGGCAGTGGCACTATTGGAAAGGATTGAAAGGATTAGGATATGTGGCCTTGTTGAAGTAGGTATGGCCTTGTTAGAGGAAATGTATTTCTGGGGGTGGACTTTGAGGTTTCAAATGCTCAAGCCAGGCCCAGTGTCACACTTTCTTCCTGTTGCCTACTGATCCAGATGTGAAGTCTCAGCTGCCTCTCCAGCACCATGCCTGCCCACACACTGCCATGTTTTTTGCCTTGACAATAACGGACTAAACCTCTAAACCTGTATGTCAGCCCCAGTTAAATGTTTTTTTTTTATAACAGTTGCTGTGGGCCAGGCAGTGCTGGCACACGCCTTTAATCCCAGCACTTGGGAGACAGAGGGAGACAGGTTTCTGTGAGTTCAGCATCAGCAGCCTGGTCTACAAAAATGAGTTTCAGCCAGGACTGTTACACAAACAAACCGTTGTTCATGGTGTCTCTTCCCAGCAATAGAACCGAAGACAGAGATTGGTGCCAGACTGGGGTATTGTTGTGAAAGGTGTGACCTTGCTTTTGTTTAGAAGAATGTGGACTTATTGGGCCATACTGGTAGGAACATGGAAGATAGTGGAGCTGAGGGTGATTTGAAGTGTGGGGGCCTGGCTCAAGAGGTTTCAGAGAAGAAATTTTGGTAAAGAATGTATTTGGCTGCTTTCTGTGCTTGTCCCCCAAAAAAAAAAAAAAATCTGCCTGAGGCTAAATTGAAAAGTTTAATGGATTAACAGCTTTGGTAGAGATTTCCAGACTGCCTAGTATTGACTGTGTTGCTTGGTTATTATTGGCCACATTTACACAGATCTGTAATGAAAAGGAGCAAGCTGAGCAAGGAAAAATACAAAATGTACAGTTTGAGAAGAAAAGGAGCTCCAGGACGTGTAAAAAGAGTAAAGAAAAGCCTGCTGCTAAGTGGAATAAAGGGAGTGGTGGCCTCTGGATAAGACCCTAGCTAGCTAAGCTTTCAGTTTGTGAAAAGGAATGAAAGAAAAGCTTAGAGCCACCCTAGCACTTTGGAGGCAGAAGCAGAGAGACCTCTAGTTCAGGCCTGGTCTACAGAATGAGTTCTAGGACGGCCCGCAGTGAAGGAAACCCTCAGTAACAGAAAGCTGGTGAAAATGAATTTGAATGAGGGGGCCACATTCCAGTTCCAACAAGCAGCAGAATTTAGCAGCTTGGGCCAAATGGTTCTGGCCTTAGAGTCAAGGAATGACTAAGAAAAGCTGCTGAGGCCGGGCCTGTGCCAGGGCTGTCCCTGATGGAGGCCTGGAGAAGCCATTGCATGAGGCTGTGAAGGAGAAGCCTGGATTGCCTTGGAGATTCCAAGATGTTGGAAATGCCAGAGCCATAGGAAACCTGCTGAGGAGAGCTGCTAACAGGGCGCGTGGAACCAGCCCAAGAGACAGAAGTGTGCTGCAGTCAACAAAGCTGAAAGGCATTGGAGATCTGAAGAGCAGTTTGACATCAGACACAGAGATGCAGAGTTTGGAGTGTGCCCAGCTGGTTTTAGTCTTGCTTTGGTCCAGTATTTCCTCTCTATGCTCCCTTCCTCCCTTTTGGAATGGTAATGTATATTATGTGCCATTATATGCTGGAATTATGTGATCTGCTTTTTCATTTTGACTTTACAGGGATTGCCATGAGTATCAGAGACTTTGACCTATGAATAACGTCGAGAGAATAGGGACTTGGGAAGTGGAACTGAATGTAGTTTTGTATTATGAATATGGCTACAAGCCTAAGAGGGCCAGGGAGTAGATTGTGGTGATTCGAATGAAAATGAACTCTGTAGACTCATAGGAGGTGACATTATTTGAAAGGATTAGGATATGCGATCTTGTTGAAGTAATGTGGCCGTGTTAGAGGACGTGTGGCACTGGACGTGGGATTTGAGATTTCAAAAACTCAAGCCAGGCTCAGTGTCACACTTTCCTCCTGATGCCTCCTCTCCAGCTCTGTGTCTGCCTACACACTTCCATGTTTCCCACTATGATGATAACGGACTAAACCTCTGTACCTGTAGGCTAGCCCCAATTAGATGATTTCCATTGTAAGAGTTGCTGTGGTCATGGTGTCTCTTCACAGCAATGGAACACTAAGACAGAGTACATGCAGTCTAACTCCATTTACACCAACATCCACTAATGTTAACGATCTGTCAGATTCTTCCACAAGAGCATAATGATTTTAGATTTATCCATTTCACTTTTTATATCTGTAATTCCTTTTATTTCTGGATATTATTTCATTAAACCACATTTTATCAATTCATGTATTGATGGACATTTCAAATGCTTTCCACTATAGCTCTTACAAACACTAATGTACAAGAATTTAGAGGTAAATATTTTCATTTCTCTAGGCAAATCCCCAATACTAGAACGACTGCTATATAAGTATTTTGTTACAAATTATATGTTTTTCTTTAGCACTCAAATTATTCCAGACCTCACAGCTTTAAATAATACTATTGTCTCACACATTTGTGAGTCAGAAGGCCTAGAATAACTTAGCAAGTCTTTTGTTTAGGGTCTCACAAGACTGAGGTCAAGGTATTTGGCCGGCCAGTTCTGATTTTTCATATGGAGGCTAAACTAGGAAAGGGTCCAGTTATCCTTTTGTGTGTGCTCAGAAGTATCTGTTCCTTGTGGCTGTGATTTTTGTGGCAGCTTTATTTTTCAAAGTCAGCCAGTCAAAAACAATTAAGGAATAGTTCATTTATAATAATATCAAATGACTGAACTGGACTGAAATGGACTGGAAAGATGGCTAAGTGGTTACCACCAGTGGCTGTTCTTCCAGTGAGGACCTGGGTTTGATTTCCAGCACCCACATGGCAGCTAACAACCTCTGCAACTCCAGTTCAGGGAATCTGACACCCTCTTCTAGACCCCACAACATTACCTGCACTTATACATGGATACATAAAGATAAATATCGTCGTGTCTTTGATTACCCTCCTCTTCCTTTTATACTGCCAGCTTCCTATTCTATTAAAAATGTTTAGGAATAAAATTAACTCTAGAAATGAGAGATGTGTGCCATAAACTACAAAGACCATATGAGCTTACAGAAGACCACAACCTAAATGAAGAGACCCAGGAAAGACAGCCTGCATTTCATGGACTAGAAGACATGCTGCTGAGGTGACGTACTTCCAAGGAGATCCGGATGACCACCTGCCTGAGCTGGGGATATGGTCATAGAGAACATAGTACAGGGCAAAGTCTACAAAAGAAGAAAAGACAAAATGGGAATTCAGCTGCATATTTCGTAGAGATGGGCAAGCGGATCCTAAAAGTCCAGAACTGCAACTGTTGAGGGACAGTTAAAACAGTATTGAAAAGAACAAAACTAGAGAACTAACTTCCTGATTTGAAAACTCTTAAAATGCTGCTTTGATTAAGACTAGCAAAGGACAGATACATCAGTGTAGGACAATTTCAGCAGGATAGCCAAGATTAGTCAGTCAGGTGACATCTTGCCAACAAATGTGGCTAGAGTAAATAGATTTCCACACAGACAAAAGTGAAGTTGGACCCTGACATCTCACCTACAAGAGTCAACTCAAAAGTGGATGAAACAGGCCAGCGAGATAGCTCAGTGGCTATAGGCACT